AAAGAGAAATAAAGACAGAGAGAAAGAAAGAAAGAGAGAGAGAAGGAGAGAAACAAAATGACAGACAGACGTACGTACTTTGGGCTTAACTATCTGGCTAACCTTGAAGCCCTAATTATTAGAGCAACTATTGTATGTTTTGGTTATGCCTTTTAATTAAGTCAAATATAAACATTTTAAGAATATTGCAATGACATTTTTTTTGGTATGGTATTATTAGTCTTGTTACTTTCCAGTCTCACTTGTTATACCAGAATGATTATTTAACTGACAGAAAAAAAATGTCCTACATGGAAGAACGTCTATGATCAGTTCTCTAAAATAGATGTCTGTGCCTTTAATCTACAAGTCTGCTTTAATTGATGAGTGTGTTGTCACCCCTGTCAGTAGTGGTCAGAACATCTTGCTTATTTCTCCGCTGGGTTGGAGGCCTTTCCTGAGACAATGGGTCCTTCTGCCATTTGCTCTTCTGGTTTGTTGCTCTGATGTTGGCACTCAGAGGACCTGAGAGAAAGTGAGAAAGGAAGAGACAGAATATGTTTACAAACTATTAAAACAAACTATTCTTTTTCTTCATTCCACTCACTATACACATAATTTATATACTCCCCTTGAAATATGCAGCTTGTGGGACCAGCAGATGGCATAATGGTTATGTTGCTGGACTCCCGCGTAGTCGACCATGGTTCAAGTCCAGGACCCAATAGCTTTAAACTCATGCCAGGCACGTGTGCATGTGTGCCTAAAATCCCAAGAGGAGAATGAAAGAGAAGGGATTGTGGTATGGCCATCCCCCCCGCCGGGGAGGAGGCTGACTTCTCACTTTCTGTGTCTCTGTCTCTCTCTGTCTCTCTGTAGAGTGCATGTGCCCTATAGCAAAAATCTCTCTTAGAAAAAAAAAAAAAAGAAGAGAAAGAAATATGTGCCCGGTTTTTAACTATCAGCATTGCTGGAGAGATGTGTCAGGCCCTCCACAGTGAGGAGTATTTTCAACAGCACCAGATACTGAGGAACTCAAAGTAGCTGTTGCTTTATTAAACCGGGACCAAAACAGACCAGAAATGTGATAAAGAGAGAAGCTCTATGAATAGTGCTGCTTATGGGAATTTGCAATTTCCCTTGAATTAGTTCTTTGTTTATAAGAGATTTTAAACATTAACACAGTCAAGTTATCAGTGGGGCCCTCTCCAAGAGTCTGAGTTCTCACGTTTCCAGTTCACATAGTTTTTAGGTTAATTTACCTCTTGTGGGTAATGATGCGTATTTTAATCAGCTATGAAATAGAATTGTGGTTCTCCCTCTTTCCACCATCATCTTACTGTTATTTCTCATCAAGCAAATATCTTCTTTGCGTTATGGGAGAGTTAGACATACCAACTAGGTAAAATCAAAAGAAAATTACTTCATAAATAAAGTCTTTCTGTATTTCTTATAAGCCCCGACCTCTTACCACAATTTATTATCAATATGGACATTCTTTGAGAATATGAAAAGTTTATCTTGGAACCATTTGAATAGTTTTTAGTTAGGAAAGTTTTCATTTTAAGGAAATCCCATCCCTTTGAAGGTAGATTTCAAGGTTTTGATCTGAATGAAACCTGTTGAATATAAGATGGACTGTAATGAGTTTGTCCAAAGGCCATCCCTGAAATTAGCTTAATTGCAATGTACATTATCAGCTTTCATATTTATCAACCTCTACATCTCCTAGTTTAAACATCTACTTTACACTTCTGGAATAGAATTGCTATTCTGCTTGTACGTCAGCTTTAATGCTCATAAAACTTTCTTACCTTACTTCCAAGGAATCTTCAAATAATTTAATTCATTGAAATCACTAAGAAGACCCTTTCAAGAGTAATGTATATCAAGTATTCCTGCTTCCTTAACAATATTACCAGTTCTTATTGCTCACTGTTTCGTAAAAATGAATTATTTTTTGCTTTAATTAAAAAAAAAATTGCCAGGGATGTGTGTGTATGCACCAGAGGGAGCAAGAGAGACAGAGAGTGAGAGAAAAGGAAAGTGAGAAAGCACTTCCCCAGGGAATGGTCACGCTGCATCCCCTCTCCTTTCTCACCCCTGCCTTTCAGAATGTTGGAACACATGCATACATACCTGGTGTGCTTCTCAGACTGCCAGGTCTAGAACTTGAACCACAC